AGCTTTACTACGTTTACAACGCTTTCAAGCAAATACCGCACCGGGCTGCTTCGTGTTTCAGTTGGTACGATATTCGAGATATCGCGATACATGTAATACATGTATGACGTGATGTACTACTCATAAGGTTGCTGAAAAATCTTTGACTGCCCGGCCGTTTGTTTATGCCACGCACTGGTGGGACATCCGACGTTTCAAACAGAGACATAAAGGTACTGGTCAAGCTGACTGGGAGAACGACCTTCGAAACAAGTGTGGATCGCCTTCCTACCAATTTACGCCTTCCAGGATGGGGTCCCCGTGACCCCGTCTGTGCTTGGCTGGAGACGTTGCGAGAAATGGCGGCTAATCGATGTCAGTGGCGTTCGTGCTGTCAGTTTCTTTCCAGATTGTCTGATTGAGTGGTTGGAGGTGTAGGCACCTCAGTATGCTTGACATAGTCCAGCACTAGGTCCCCTCCCTCACCCACTCTTTTATTACTATATATACAAATACTATATATACTACTATACTATATACTATACTACTATATATACTACTGTATATATACTATATACTATACTATACTACTATACTATATATACTACTATATAGAAATACTATATACAAATAACTAGACGAACCTTATGGTTGTACGGCAGTGAAGCATCAGTGTGAAGACTGACTTTGCTGTCTTTGATGATGACGCTGACTGACCAGCCCATGGCTTCGCGCAAAGTAGCATGCATATAGCTTCGTTGACACAAATGAGTGAATTTTCCAGTAAAAAAACACTGTAGCGATAAATTCGAGACGAAGATGCCATCGGTCAGGATGTCATCCAAACTCCCCTCAACACGGACATGTGACGAGTATGATCAGTTGCGCAAATCACAATATACGCCTAGAAATGCTTCTAAGTGGTTCAAGATCACCGAATTTCCGGATGTGTGCACCCTCAGAATTGTGGAATGAGAGGAGCATTCGAAAGAAGTTCCACCCAGTGAAACTCTGTCGTTAGAGTTGTGGAATCCGGGACCTGCATCGAACCGTTTAGGAGACAAGGTTATCCCAGAAACGTCAGACGTTATATCCAATGATTCAACACCTCTGACAACAAGTGTATCGATCCTACACATTCATCTTACTACACAGCAGGTGTGTATACAGGCAGGTGGGTTGGTGTCACCGTGATACTCAGATCTTTGCTACTCAGTCGGATAGCTGTGGATGGCAGAGCACGGATTCTACACGCAGGTGTTCCCGCAGAAAAATCGACCGCCATTTGAAAATCATTCACCATGAGCAGTTAAACGCTCCTGCTATAAGCCTAACCACACTCGCAGTGTTGTAAAAAATTCCAGAGGATATTTTAAACGCGGGTTCAACGTAGAACATAAGGTTGACGTTGGAAACTCGAGGACTGTGCCTACCTGATGAGCCCCCAAGAAGGACGAAACCGGTCGTGGGCTGTCGAAGAGTTTTCAGCAACCTTCGGAGTAGTTTCCTTTATGAGGGCTACGAAACTGTTCATGTACGCACACCCACACACACAACCAAAGTTCGGCGGTTTATTTAGTGCATGGAAAACTGTGACTCAAAAGTCAACTGGCAAGTGAAAAGTCAAGACAAGACGATTTGGGTGACGATGTACGACATGGCGGCTTCCAACAGCAGTAAGCCGGATCGGGCTCCCTGAGGTGGAATAGGAAGGAAAGTGCGAACGTTATCGCGAGGAATCGTAGAGATTAATTGAACTGCTGGTGGTTAAACACAAAATCCCATAATCAGTCAGATCCGTGGTGCCATGGGCGACTGGTCTGAGTAGGGATAACAGACCCTCCCCCCGGAGAAACTGAAGAACCCTACTATCATCTATGGGAAACGTTCGATCTCTGGCCAAACTGGTTAATCAGACAGAGACCAAAGTCTCATTTGGCATTTCTAGAAGCAATCCAAGAAGAACCATAGCTTTACGGAGCTTAGAACTTAGAACGGCTAGCAAAAACAGGAAAAGTGGCCACCAATAAATAGGTTTCTGTTCAAGAGAACCCTAAAGCAAAGGTGTCATTGATCTTTGTAATGTACTACTCATAAGGTTGCTGAAAATCCGTCGACAGCCCACGACCGGTTTCGCCCTTTTTGAGGCGCATCAGGTAGGCACAGTCCCCGGGTTTCCGTCAACCTTATGTTCTACTTGCAACCAAATTGCACGAAAATTGCGAATATACACTCACTTACAAACTAATTTGGTTTTTCGAGAGATTCACACGGAACCCATTCAGTTGCCTGAGAACATCGTGAACGAGAGATTCAGCTAGGTTCCAGGTGAGTCTCTTGAAAAAACAAATTAGTTTGCAAGATGAGTGTTTTCCGCTAGTCTCATTGATCCGTTTCCTCTACCAGCTGTAAAGTTCACTCAGCGATTAGCTACCACTCATCAGGCGAAGATGTTGCTCAGTCACGGAGGGGTTGTATCATGAATACGGTTGATCAACCCGGAGTTCACTTCGTTGTCACCCATGGGCACTTTCGATCAGAAGCTCTAGCGAGCGCGACCTTTGACGAGTAGATGCCCAAAAAGTTCGCAAAATAGACCCTGGATTTATACACAGATCCTTTACCATTGCTACAAACAGAGAGTGGTTTCGTTCCGTGGAAACGAGATACAGGATTGGCCAGCTGTATCAGGAATTAATTTGTGATTCTCAGGAACGCTAAGGGGAATGACATTTATTCACGTTAGCGTTGTTACCCAGAAAGTGAAGCATCTGAACAGTGAGTTTTGTTGACCACAACGGAATCTTTTTACGTAATACCGACATGGCTACTTTGGGCGCGCAAGCAAATCGATCATTCGAATTGCACTGGGCAATTGTTGACGATCATGGGGCCCTTTTCAAGTCGACCATATCAGTCACCCACGAAATGGATAGCCGCAGAGATTGTGGCGATTGACTTGTTTTTATGTGACGCATACAGAAGACGCTGTAGTTATGAGCTCTACAGAGCAACAGTCTATCTTTCAGACGATATTTTTCCAGTGTTTTAGTAGCACATAGTTGACAAAACTGGTCCGACATTGGTACAAAACTTTCCTCGAAAAGAACGAGCAATCCCATCTTGCGACATTTTTCCCATTCTAGCACTCTTCTCGAAAAAGAGAGGCAAGTGTGTGGAGTCTATCAAATGGCTGCTTTGTTCCACGAGGGGAGGTTACGGGGCCGTTTCACACGCTCCCAGAATCGTCCTACGTGATCTTCGCTTGTTCCACGAAATCTCAGCTAGTTAACAGCAGGATGAGCACAACCGATATTTCGTAGCCAAACTACATAACTCATAAGCTCCAAGCATCCAATCCCCTCGGGATTTCGTATTCCACTCAATTTTCCCTGCTGGGTGACCACAGTTTTACATAGCTTTATCAGGAACTCAAAAATTTCTGTTTCTTTGTATGACCTAAGGCAAACTGCCACAGCAGAAAAAATCTGGTCAGATTACCACGCCACCGAACCAAGTTTTAAGAGGGTTATCGCTCTCCGATTCAATCGTTCTAAGAGTGGTTTTATGAATGACCACGCTGTCGCTTCTAAAATTCCCACAAATAGAGTAACTTTTTAGCTGCTCACCAATTTGGTTCTAACGAGAAACTCGACTTAATCAAGGGCGAATCTCTTGCTTAGGATATTCTTCCGACGAAATTCAGTTGTACGTCACGCACTTGGGTTCATTCGTTGAATGAAGAGAAGCTCGGAAACTGCATCAACTCGATGAACCTCAGGGAGGACAAAACCGGTCGTGAGCCGCCGAGTAGTTTCGGCAACCTAATGAATAAACAAAATACACTTATCTAGAACTGCTAGAACGCAAGACCACCGATCACGCCAAATTATGTTTGTTAATATCACGAGGTACTTTTAGAAGCACCTAGATGATCTAATCTATTTTACATGGTTGCGGATGGGAATATCTGGATCGTAATGCTTCTTGTTGGGAGGTAGGCAGAAAAGCTCATAAGTGTGCACTACACCCAAGAGATCAAATGAAAAAACAAACCGTGTTGGTGCGCGTCACACTACTCACAGTGTGGCACTTGACACATATGGGCTTTTCTCCGATTTTTGAAATGTGATCAGATCGATACTCCATCTTTGGGGTAAAATCACTCTTCACGAGACATCTTGACATTCCCATGACGTTCCTGATTAAGTCAATGAACGTTCTATAGAATGTTTTCGATCGGGAAATCGCACACAAAAGTCCACTAGTAGAGTAGTATAAACTTTATGGGGAGAAGTTCTGTTCAGAGGGATCTCTCGTGGGGGGTTTTATTTATTTTTCTGTTCTAAATATTTTGTTCAAGTTACGCAAGTGAAATGATAGTTGGTCGTTTTTTTTGGCTGGAAGTTCAGATGTTTGAGATCCGCTGCTTTGGAAGGTCAAAATGCACTACTCACAAGGTTGCTGAAAACTCTTCGACAGCCTACGACCGGTTTCAGCCTTGTTGAGGCTCGTCAGGTAGGCGAAGTCCCCGAGTTCCCACCGTCCACCTTATGTTCTACTTGAAACCTAGTTGAGTTACGGTCATATTTGTCATGTGTTCTTGCCAACGAAGTTGACAAAGTCACGATGAAATTTGGGAGTAATTTGACACCTGCTCCCAGGGTATCTGATCCAAAAAATATGCCATTCAGAATAATTTTAAGGCGACAACTCTCATCGATTTTTGTGTTACGGCTTTTAGATTACTTCCTAGCCATCTAATTAATTCGTGGTGCGGAAAATTGAGCATTCTCAATCCGAAGATGTACAGTTTAACATTCTCACTAAAAAAACTTCTTGGGTTCGTGGTTACCGCGCTTGGAAGAATCGATTCCGCTATTTGTTATAAAATAGGCGTCCGGCATGGTATCCACGACCGTGTGGTCGTTATGACCGCGATGATGTTGGAATATCGAAGTCATTGCTTCGATGATAAGGTTATCCTCTGAACAGGGATCACCATCATCATCATCGACAGCATGACATCAGTGTTCAACACCGATGCTTCACTGCCGTACAACCATGACTTATTTGAAAGCCTTATTGTAAAGAAAAGAATAAAGGTGGATGGGGGAGGGACTTAGTGCTAGCTTAACACAATCATTCCGAGGTGCCTACACCTCCAGACATTCACTCAGGCAATCTGGATAGAAACTGACAACAAGAACGCCACTGACATCGGTTGGCAGCCATATCTTGTAGTGTCTCCAACCAGGCACAGTGAGGATCACGCGGTCCCCATCCTGGAAGGCGAGTAGCACCGACAGCACCCAAGCGTTTCGTGATCTTCTTCATACTCCTCTGCCAAGTCAAGGTTTGGCCAGCTCTCTGTTTACGCCACTCTGAGTTGGGCATGGAAAACAGCACTCTCTTCGGCAAACGATGGTTCGGCATACGTAACACTTGTCCCAGCCAACGCAGCTTCTGGTGCTGGACACATTCTTCAATGGAAGTACCCGTTACACAACCGAACAGGGGTCACGACGAAAAAGAGATCATTTTGGCCCCGTTACCAACACGATGTATGTCCCTAATCTCAACCAGAAACTATGAATGTCTCTTCAAAGAGGACCAACCCCTAGTTCTTGGATGAGCTCCCTTTCGTATTATTTATGGGCTTAGAACTTGCTTAGAACTCGTTTTTCAAGAAAAACCCACATTAATCTTGACGTATTATAAAGTACACATGAGTAAAAGCAGTGTCAGGATCCGAAATTGGCTCCAGCTGGCGGTGGAAATCTGCACAGCTTTTCAGTCATCCGAATGTCTGTTTCCAAGGTGTCACTAGATGAGCTTCAGTCGCTGCCCCTGGAACACTACGATGCAACATTATGAATTGCGTCGGAAAAGTAGATTTGGAGAAGAAACCCAGGTTTATGCTACTTACAATGTGAGGTCAATGACTATTGAGTGAAAACCATATATATTTTCTCGACGGCACATACTACTTACAAGGTTGCTGAAAGTTTTTCGAAAGCTCACCACCAGTTTCATTGTCTCAGGCTTATCAGGTGGGCGCAGTCCCAGCGTTTCCGTCGGCCTGTGTTGTACCTAAGCCCGAATAAGACACAGTTGATGAAATAAATTCATTTGCAAACCGCTTTATTTTCAAGATGAGGGATTCGCGCGGATTTCAGCTGAATCTCTCGTGGTTTCATGAATAACCTTTTTTCGGGGAACAGGTGGCGCATAATTACTCCACAAACGGCACTCTAACAGGCCATTCGTGGAAGCGGGAGTGACCTTTCCAGATATAACAAACCTAGTGGGAACCTGGCAGAGAATGGTCGATGTAGACTGGATTGGTGGGTGACATCCCTCCCAGCGGTACTACTGAGGGACCAAAATCAGGCTTGTGTGACTCTGGAACGGAAGGTTTCTTAAAACGCACTGTCTGCTATTCTGGTGGGGGTTGTTCCTGGGAGGCGTGACTGATAACGCAGCGGAACTCACACTAGTTCGCGCGTGCATCCAAGCTCAAGTACAAAATAAGGTCTTCGGAACTTTGAGGGCTGGGCCTAGGTGATGAGTCTCAGCGAGAGAGAGAGAGAGAGATTGGCAGTTTTCATCAACCTTACGAATAGCGCATCTCGTAAAGGACAACTCGTCCAACATTAATCATTAACATTTTAGACTCGGTATCATGGGGTTTCGCAAGTTTCCAGTTGTTCCTCACAACTTTTGAGATGAACCCTTGCTCAAATCGATGGCTTGTTTCTTAAGCGTGTCCACTCCGGTACACGCACCATTCACGTGGGTTTTTTCAACAGGTCACTGTGTTGACAGTCAAAAACAGTCGAAAATAGAGAAGTTAAAGAATTGCAGGAAAGCAAAACTTTGTCGTTTTTGCGGGATTTTACTTTGTAGTCACGTAGTCCAAATTGACCGAAACCTAGATTTGGGCAGTATGTGCTCAATGAATCGGCTTCATCTATGTTTATGGATAGCTGCACTTCACAAAAGCAGATTTTTGGTTCAAATCCACCCTGGACGTGTGTGTGTCTAGTCAAACACTATCAAGTTGCGTTGGTAGTCATCTGCTGACTTGAGTCTCTTCCGAAATCCCCCAGCTGGGGTTAACTAGTCAGAATCACGAAGCGAATTGCGAGGATGTTGAGACAAACAGATATTTCCATTTGATTGACACAGGCTTCTGACGTAATTGAACCACTCCGACCTTCACACATAGTTCGACCCAGTTTTCGGACATACGTCAGCCGCGCATTGACTTCCGGATTAGCCGTGTCGAAAACTTGCTTTCAAGATCCATGTAGAGTTCGATGCGACTTTGACTCAACCCACAACAGCACCAGTACTCACATCTTACGTTCGGTAACAGTAACGATACGCTCAGTGAATTTAACCCCCGAATATATTCATAGTTGGCCACTTTGTCTTGTTTTGTTGTTGGTGTTTCTGTTCACTACTTTCTGACAGCTCAGTATTTTCCGCACTGTAGGTATCAAATCAGAGTGGCTAGTAACACTAACCAAGACGTTCCCTGTTCTTTTCGAATTCTAAGGAGTGAAGGAAAAAGATCCTTTCCACAAAGAATACACTCTTAAGTTGACCGCTCTCGTCCTCCAGTGAAACGAACACCGCCAGACCCTAGCCCTAGACTCAGTAAGGAAGATCAGAAAGCCCGAAAGACATGAGAAAAATACGAATTCATGTACTTTTCGGGACTACGGCGCTACCCATCCACATAAACCCCGTCAAATTGGAATTTGTATGCCATTTTAGCTTCCTGAGAAAAGTATGGACCAACTTGTGGTTATACTAGCTAACTATGACAGATTGTAAGAAAATCTCGGTCAGAAAATCACAGTTTACGTTTTTTTCGGCTATTTATAAGGTTGTTGAAAACACTTGGACAGCCCGCGACCGGTTTCACCCTTCTTGGAACTCATCAGGTAGGCGCAGTCCTTGCTGTTGCGCCACACTCTGAGGTTCCGCCAAACTCATAGTCTACTTGTACACAATGTTTAGCATCTATCTAACCGGACTACTCAATGTACAGTAGTACCTCAAACGGAGATTCTTCCCAGAAGTGGACGCCATTGAAGAGTCCCAGCCAACCACCAGCCAACTTTCGAATGAATCACTCCAAAAACGGAAAATTGATGACAATACGGGGGATAACTGGGTAAGCGAGTGCACAAAAGTAGTCATTTATTTCGCACGGCCAGAACGAGTTTGTTTCTGTTGAGCTTTGAGCGCCCCACTTATATAGCTGTCGTCTTAAACGTTTCCCTCCTCGGTTTTCAGTCGATCAGTGTTCTGGCGTACCTCAAAGCCTATGCAGTACGTCATCTGGCTTGAAGAGATCAAAAGATAACGCTAGTCAAGCTGTAGTGAAGAGGTTAAATAAGATGCTAAAGGGAGTAAGTGAGATGCTGAGGTTGGGTTCGAACCATGAACCTCCCGGTCCGTAAGGTGCCTTAGCCACTGAGCTGTCTTGAGCCCACAGCCCTAGGAAACCTCTCTACTTTTTTAGTTGCTTCTGGGTAGGAGCTCTATCAGTAACTGTTCGACTCTCCATGTTCGCTAAAATCGCGATAGAAAAGGTAACGTGACTTTGTTCACTTGTTCAAATGTGGTAACTTCAGTGCGTTCAACGTCCACCGATAAACTCACGCACGCCTCAGGTGTAAAATGTACCAAATTACAAACGCAGGAATGGAGAAGGCTATTCACCGGAGATGAGCTGAAATATGAGCTAGATGCCAGTCCAGCACTTTTCTCACCATGTGTGGGCTGAACACTCCAGTGCAAAAGGTGGGTTGTTCAAACAAAATCTCTACTCTTACCAGAACAAGAATGGCGATAGGAGAGGACAGTTTGTACAGGATGTCACTAGTACCAACACCATTGTCACATAAGTAACGTACATGCGAAAACACATATCGGTACTGGAGAATCGAAATTTGAATTCTAACGGAAGGGCACAACACACGTAAAAGCGGTTTACGTGGATTAGGATAGAAGCAAAGTCTGGCTTGGGTGTTTTTGTGACCACGTGACCCGGTTGTAGATATTGATCTATACTTCGGCCCGTTCGTTACGTATGTGGCGCGTATCGCGGTTGAAAAGAAGATTAGAAACGGCACTATCCCTCACAAACTGTCTTCTGTCAAGATCGAACTAAGTGATCCACGCCTAAAATCAGCTTTATCAGTTGCGCAACTTGGTCGAAAGACTGGGGCTTCTGCTACCCACGGCGGCAATTGATTAACTAACTGCGCTACACGAGTCTACAGAAAGCTTCGTGAGGCTGGGCCTCTCCTATTATTGCTATATCAGACCTTTAAATATCTGGGGGAAAAACCCCCCATGCCTATGCTGTTCCCACTGCTGTCAACTTTCAGAAATTTAAATGGAAAGGCGCGCGCATGAGTATCACAACCTGTGACAGTCAGATTCCACTGATGTCCACATCCGTGTTGTCACGTGATCTTTGTCGGGTTTTCTGTACACGAGATACCATTCATGACTAGAAACTAAAGAATGCACTTTTGAGGGTGGGGATCAGTCAAGGACCTTGAAGGAAAATTACAATGGCCGCATTGTTACAAAGCGGGCGCTGATTAAAGTGAACAAACCTGTTCCGGAATGGTAACTGCTTACTGCTCTGTTGTGAAATAATGTACGTTTATTGGCCGACTTAACTGGGGAAAAGGATGGTTGATCGCCCAGACAGAGGATTAGAAGTACAGTGGTAGAGCTCAGTCAGTGTTTAGTTACATTCAGCAGTAACAAACGGCCAGCTATCGTCGATGGCGAGACCTTTAATTAGTCGTGGTTGGAGTCAGGACGCTACTGAACGTGTTGACCGCTTGTAGGGGATATTCTTCAGACTCTTATCCTCCGGGGTATAGCCAGATGGATTACGTAAGGAGAAACAGAGGTTCCTTCTACACAGATCAGAAAGACAATGGGTGCTTTGAGAGCAATGACCTGAAATTCACAAACCAGACCTCTAACGCGGAAACCCCTAAACCGTTTCAGAAAGTATGGCGTTCCGATCAGACCTTTATACGTCTTTCCGCCTGAATTTGACTATTTTCATTTACAGGAATTGCAAAAGAATCAAGTCATACCCATGCACCCCAATTTTCAAATCAATAGGTTGCATGATTTGTGCGCTGCGTGAAACAGCTTCATTGTCAAACCATCCAGTTTCCGAACTGGAGAGAATAGGCTGTGGAAACCATCAAACTCGCGTTGGTTGAACCGTCAGGAGACCGACTGCGTCTGTCCTGCAGAGGTTAGCTTGTCCGGCTAGAGATAGGCGCAAACATACTGAGGTCCGCGGTTCAAACCCAACTTTGGCATCTCAACTGCTATTGTCTAGGTCTGTGTAACATGGCATTATCTCAGTCCTCGTGCTTCCTTCGGTTGGCACGGCAGCTATGCACCGAAAGAGTGCTACAGCTGAACGATTATCGATCGACGACTGGAAAGTTGGTTTGGTTACCTGTCCTCATGGCTTACTGTGGCGAGCCATTGTTAGTCGGCTTGTGAGGTACGTTTGACTGAAAGGCATACAGCTTATTCTGAGACATCTTGCTCTGGTAGCCAACTGTGTTGGAGCGCCGGGTCGTTCGCACGTTGATGTATCATCAGAAAATGAGGAAACTTGAAATATGCCACGAAATTTCTAGTTACCCTGAACTGTTTGTGGATGCGCTTGAGTGAATGTCGATGGGAAACATTGTTCGAATACATCCCACATTGAAAGAGCCTACGCACTCTGTTGGACGCATCCAAACTGCCCATCGATAACAGCAGTTTACAGAGTCACTGTTTTTTTGGAGTGACGACACTGGGACAAATATCCCGGAGTTGTAAAGATAAGTGAACTGTTCTATCTCATCTCAAGATATGCTACACAATGAGATCGCAAGTGATCCCCAAATTACGGTCCACACCCAAATAGGGGACATCATTGGCAGTGGGGTTGGTGAGACCCCACTTCAGAGGGATTTGGAGCTGACTAGCGGACCTTTGCAATGGATTCGCCTCTCTTTGGAAGCGTGCTTCCATACGGATGCCCCGAAAGATGTCTTTCCCCTAGTGTGTTTCTGTGGATATTTTATCGATCCGTCTGTCGTTCAAACTCAAATCTGTCTTCTTGATTACTTCTGTCCAGAGGCTTGGGTAACTTGACAAAATCGCAGTCCTTGTGCTTCCTTCCGTTTTTACGACAGCTGTGCACCAAAATGGTGCCACGGCTGAATGATTTATAATTGTTTTTGTTTGTCTCTATGCATCGAACGACATATAAACACCTGACTGCGATAAACTCGTGGTAGAAGAAGAATACGGGTTCATTCAAAAGCACAATGGTTGCCGTATGAACAAAAAAACTATCCGGAACCAACCGGAAAGACGAAATGCCATCGATGTGAAAAATCTGAAAATCGTCTAGCTGTACCACCCTTTCGATGCCTAGCTGCCATGCCACCAGAAGGAAGCACGAGGGCTGGGATACTGCCCAAACCTAGACAGGGGAAGTCGAGACACAGAGGTCGGGTTCGAACCACGGACGTTCCGGTCAGTAAATTCGCGCTCTAACCACTCGGTCCATCTCGCCCCTCTGCTCTACATAGACATTGTATGTCAACACTTTGTTTACTACATTACTGACTAGTTCGATCACTGTGAATCACAAAAAAGTTCGCGTGTCTAGGTTTTCTGATCGTATTTAGATGATGGTGAGAGACGATTGCCGAGAAGGGTTCTTTATGGTGGTTTCGAAAGGACCGTTGTTAATTACGGGGGAGGTGTTAATTGATATGGGGGAGCCTAATGGCGTTTTCTATGCGAGATCAGGATATGACGGTGTGTCAAGAAATATCGATAGCTCGGCTAGGCTAACTGACTGTTGACCAGGTGGCGATCGATTGGCAACCGGCTTTCAAACGCTCCGTCACCAGGCTAGGGGAGATACAGTCAGCGCACGCACTGAGCAGGATCGACACAACTCCTCACTCAGTCAGGAATACCAAAGTCAAAAATAGATCTTACTGATGCGGCTTTCCATTTACAAAAAAAACATTTTAATCGATCGAGCTACGCTAGCCCGACTGAGTGAAGCGGATGCGTCACTCATACAACCCTGGAATTTTACCATCCGGCCTGGCAACTATTGTTTAGCCCTTCGCTCGATCATGGAACTACCAGAGCATGGGACAGTAGCCGTTCCGTTCAATCCCCAGGGTGCTGAGTCACCATGGGCTCGTTACTTTGATGCCATGCTCACTTTTGACAGCGCATTGGAATGTAGGGGAACGAACCACGGGTGCTGGTTGGGTCTTGGTGACTATGAACTTTATATCACAGACACCGCACAGTCTATTTTTGGGGCCAGCCAGCCTGTATGGATCTGAGCTTTTGAAGTCAATAAGGCCGACATATAGAGGTGAGTACAGTAATTTTCCCAAGAGAACCACACTGAATGGAAGCCACTTGTAGATTTCTATAGAACTCGCTCAGATCACTCCAACAACCCCTTGTCAGTCCATAATTTTGTTCTTTAAGAAAGGACTTCATCCCCCAAGAAAGGTTACGAGCCCCAGGACTTCTAACAACAAAATAGAAAAAAAAAAACGGGGCAAGATGGTACAAATTGTTAGAGCGCGAATTTACTGATCGGAAGGTCCATGGTTCAAATCCGACCTCTGTCTCTCGAATCCCCTTCTCTAGGCAACCTGGCAGTATCCCATCCCTCGTGCTTCCTTCGCGTGGCATGACAGTTAGGCATCGAAAGGGTACTACAACTAAAGGGGAACGGCAAAAAACGGATGTAGGTTTTGAGACGCACATCAACGCACCGATGGGTTATAAACCGCCGGGAAGTTGGTGAAATTAGCCGGACATGGTTTGAAACCAGTTTCTACTTCTTAACTCGTGAATTCACTCTTGAATTGCAAAATGCAAAACCCGGTTAGAGTTGTCGCTTCTGGGTTCGAACTTCAGTAATCGGTTAGCCATAATAAGCATTTATCTACTACACCTTACAAGTGATAATGAGCTATTTTTACACACTGGTGTTCTTTCTTAGGAGTACATCAACAGTAGATATCGTTCAGTTGTAGCAGCCGGTGTACAGCTGCCATGCCATCTTAAGGAAGCATGAGGGCAGGGATATTGCCAGGTTGCCCAAGCCTAGAGAGAGGAAGTCGAGAGGCAGAGGTCGGGTTCGAACCACGGACCTCCCGATCACTAAATCCGCGCTCTAACCACTTGAGCCATCTCACCCTCAGGATTCTGCGAAAAGAGACCAAGTACAAGGCGCCGACAGATGTGATAAACGCACCTAAGCATCATATCGAAGTAAGACTCGATTAGTGGCAGTGATCAGATGGCCTCTATGTTAATCACCTAACATGATCGCAACACTACGACAGGTGGACTTTACCCGGGTAGTCCGACCAGGAAGTGAAAACATGAAACTGAAACTTGAGACAGCCTGTGCGCAGCACATTCAGTTGAAGAATATCCCAAACGAGAGATTCAGTTGAGTCTCTCGTGAAAACTAAATTGATTTGCAGAAGAGTGTATTTCTCGAAAACAGTCCTATTTGGGTTCAAGTAGAACATAAGGTTGACGGTGGAAACTCGAGGACTGCGCCTACCTGATGAGTCCTAAGAAGGGCGAAACCGGTCGTGGGCTGTCGAAGAGTTTTCAGCAACTTTGTGAGTAGTTTCTTTTACGAAAAAGTGACGACATGCTTGCAACCGTAACCGGTTACTTGCCATAACCTGTTGGGTTCTCAAACGCATGCAGGAAGAATGACATGGGTCCCGATCGGAAGATCACAAAGCCCCCGAAACATTCATTCCGATAAAATAATTTGGCGTTCCCAACACAAACGACACCCGGATAACTCACATGAGGGAAATTGATTTTTGAAATTGTCCATATTTGGTGAGTTTTCTTATTTTCGTGTCAAGAGGGGAATTTTTGTATAAAAACTTCTTTTTACAAGGTACCGCAATTTCTTTCCAAGATTCTTTCATGGCCTGGTGCACTGATGTGGACCATGGTGTCAACTTCTCGATGAGATTACTGTATAAAGCAACCAAACACAAAGGCGAACGTATTACTAACGATTTGTTTAGCGACGTTGGACAGAAAAAACACGGCCCCGTCATCGGTACTGAACTACCAGACAAATAATTACCTTATCAACATTTGTAAAAATGAGTGTAGCTCGCAATAAAACAGTGGAAACATGTCTGTTGTATGTTAACTAAAAAGGCGAACAGAAGCCAGTGTTCACGCGGTCAGTCAGTCACCACTACCTGTGGTTTTTTTCCTGCAGTATAGATACTGAAAAGTTTGAGGAATAATCATAGCGTCACGAGGGACGATCCCTCAACTATCTGGCTTGTGTAAACTTACATTTGAGGCTAAAATCTAACCGAGAATCACTAATTTCATTAGTACGCTGTTTGATACATCAACAAGTTTATGTGGTTTCATGTACGGCTCATCAAGCTGCAACAGTTAAACTGAAAACTTCAGTTTGGCTGAAGCAGGTGTGTTGACTCGGTCCTCCTCATGGACCATTAATCAAGAGAAAAACGAGGGCCTGGTTCCAAGATTTCGTACTCTCTGGGGTATGTTTAAGAGAGAACGCTACCAAAAGAGAACCAAAGCCTAATTCAGGTCTGAAAAAATACTTGCAGTGCGCAAGTTAAACACTGCTGTTTCAGTGTAGGGTTAAGAACTACAGGACTGATAACAATGCAGTAAATTCTTAGTTGTTTTTGTCATGGCAATAATAATCACCTAATAAAAAATAAAATAAGATCGTTCGACACCCTTACTGTGTCTAGCTGCGACGCCACCCGAAGGAAGCACGAGGGCTGGGATACTGCCCAAGCCTAGACAGGGAAAGTCGAGAGGCAGAGGTCGGGTTCGAACCACGGTCAGTGAATTCGCACTCTCACCACTTGAACCACCTCGCCCTACCTACTGACCGAAAAAACCCAGTCTACGAACTAGGAGCCATGATGGTATCACGAAAAACAGGTATTACCCTATAATTACATCATGCGATGCATTAGACAAGCCGTTTATTCAGACGGCTAAATTCTGCGTCGTACATGCCCATCTGTGTCAAGAATCCAGTACAAAGCCGCGTTTTACATCGTACCACTAAAGGCAGGAATTATCCTGACTATGAAGTAAAGCCCCTAATCAAAGGGATGCTGGATACGGGGTACTCAGCAATCAGGTGCTCTGTGACACTCCGATAGCCTGGACAAGGGATATTCACCACAGCTTCGCGAAGTTGCACCATGAAGGCGAAGACAAACGCGGCCTGGTTGCTGAGGGTTGCTACAATGTGACAGACAAAAGCCGTGTCTCGTTGAACCACCGGGTACACACACCCTCCCAGACCGGTGTCACCGAGACATCCTATCGGGGCTACTGCGTCTGTGACCAAACGTAAGCTGAACTGTATGCATTCACAAAACAGTATGACTTGGACCGGGCGTTTTGCAAACATCGATGAACTTCGACAAGCACACATATTTACATATCGATTTGGTTTTGATGGGGGACTCTCCTGGAACCCAACTGAATCTCTTGTCTGTGATGTAGCCAAGCAACTGAATGTGCTGCACCAGGCCGCCTCATGTTTCAGCTGGTAATGTATCGCGAAACTATTCACAAGGTTGCTTGGAACTCTTAGACAGCCCAAGACCGGTTTCGCCCTTCTTGGTGCTCATCAGGTAGGTGCAGTCCCCGAGTTTCCGTCAACCTTGCGTTCTACTTGAAACCAAGTTGAAGAAGTTGCACAAGTTAGCGAATATACACTCATTTGCAAACAAATTTGGTTTTGCGAGAAACTCACCTGGAGCCCAGCGGAATCTCTCGTAGGCTGTCAAGGAGTTTTCAGCAACCTTATGAGTAGTGCATTACGAATATACATGCATCGCGATATGTCGAATTTCGTAGCGACTGAAACATGAGGCGGCCTGGAGCAGCATATTCAGTTGCCTCGAAACATTGAAACCGAGAGATTCAGCTGGGTTCTAGGTGAGTCTCTCGCAAAGCCAAATTTGTTTGCAAATGAGTCCTATCCGAATTCGTTTTTTAGCACAATGTAAAATAACTGTGTCAGTCACAATTTCTGTTCTGGGACATTGGTCCAGAGGCCCACTGTATTAGCGGCTTTCCGGTCGTTGATGAAGCCCAATCGAGAACACTTCTAACTCCAATCTGCCTCAGCGAGGAATGAATGGGCTTAACAGTATTTTTTCAAAAAAATAGTCATTACACGAGATAAGAAATCCCATAAAATTTCCAAAGAGCTATATAGAAACTGAAGGGGAAATCGGAGTCAATCACTGTTCGTCCCCGAGACAAGAGCAATCTAACACAACAAGACCAATAATGTTAACCGTCATTCACCAGAGTTCTTCCTGTTTTGTTTGCCGTAACCCGGCAGAACCAGTAGTGCTTGGATTTTCCCTAATGTAATCTGACGTGTGCCTCAGTCGTTTGACCGAGCGTTGCCAAGAGTAAAATGACTTTGACCGGTCTTTCAGACAGGAAACGCTTGCTGATAAAATCAACACAACAGGCGAAAGGCCTAAATTAGTTGTCACGATGATGCGACGTGTGTACTCACGGAGGAAAACGCTAATCTCCGCGGTTGCAGTCACGGTAACACTGGTTTTGCAAAGTTTATGATATTCCAAATCGACCGTACATGATCATTCTCTAGGAATATTTGTGTACGCGGAGTGCTGCAAACTGGTATAAAAGCGTGAAACCAACTCCAAGCAATGAGACATGAGAGACTTGAAGACTGACAAACAATAGAACTTTGTCAAAAACTAAGAACCTAAAACAGGTACACGCGAACCAATGGCTTTGTACTACCATGAACACACTCATTCTCTTGTGTCATCGTGTTTCGCTGAGTAAAACAGCGTCGTTGAAAGTTCAGACGGCCACGACCGCGGTACCCGCCTGCCTGGTCAAGATACGGGGACGAACATGTCTGGATGAATCGATTGTGACACGGATTTGAGACAAGCGCGCGCGCAATTAGTGACCCAGTTTTCGTACAACGACGCCTGACCAGCTTCACCAGCAATAGCAAAGCAACCTGTCTATCCGCCTACCTGCCTGTTTCAGCACACTACCAGCTCCGTACCTGCGTACCAAAAATGTGCTGGAAGACCACGGTATCAAAGTATCAAGGTCATCAGTGCAGATCCGGTCGAATAGTTGGGCACAGTTGTTCATCTTACTGCATGTACCAGAAATGTACAGAAGCCTCCCGTATGATGAGTGCACACCCGGAAAACTTTGTTCTGTACGCCGCTTTTCATGAGCACAGAAATATCCAAAAATTGAGCAATAGCTAGCTATGGTGAAGAGCGTGAACCAACAAGCGTTCCAACTTAGTATGTCACAACTGGGCCCTGACTTTGCGATAAAAAAAGTGTGAACGTATTGGACAAGTCCTGGGCAAAATATGGCTCTGGTTTTCAGGTTCGACGTATCAAATAGCAGATTGGGTAAATCTTTGGTAATCGATATTCTAACCGAATCTCATGTACGTCTAGCTAAATTCACTGATCTACCGGGATAAACAGATGCCTACGAACGATTGGAGAACATGAGTGAGAATGGCTTTCAGAACATCAGGTTCAAAGCATTGTTACAAGCGATGGGATCTTTAAAGATAACATCTTTCGTGGAAGGACGCTGAGTAGACACGTAAATTATTCGAAGAAAAGACGATATAATGTGTACGGGACTGCCGTAGACTGACGAAGACAGTCGATGACGTTGGTAACTATTGGTAACACCGATATGAACTGAGAAACGAATAAGGCACGTAGATCTAATCAGCATTAACACAATGTAGTCCTACATAGAAAGTGACGTCAAACAAGCATTCGAGTAAACATATCAGTCTGCCTGGATGATTATGAAACCTCAGTCTTGTGAATTCAATATTGATTTTTGTACAAAACAAACATCTGAATGATCAGGTTTACAACTAAGCCACACATACAGTTGGTCTTCTTTTCTATAGGATCACATCTCCTGAGGATAGCATTTCTAGGGTAAGGTGAGCTGCTAGCGTACGAATGAAATTGAAACCGGTCATTATTTCCCGCACACACCAAGAATTGTTGTAACTCAGCTAGTCGATGAGGATTCAGACTGCCGGAATGGTAAACAGCTCAATTTGTGACTTCCATTGTTTACACACATTCACAAACGGACAAAAGCCTCTTATCTCTGAAACACTACGCTTTTCTCGTCTATCGAGGGAATATAAGCTTTTTTTCAAATCGATGGCCGACCAGATCATCCGAATGGTTAGATCCGTACACCGACTTGATCTGCATGCTGTCATCTTCAATTCTGGGTCGAGTCAGGTCTCGTTCGTTCGTTTTTTTTAAGAACATGATCAGAAACATAAAAGTCGAGTCAGTCTCGTTCGTTCGTTTTTTTTAAGAACATGATCAGAAACATAAAAGTAAATCCAAGCAGGTGACCAAACATTTTCTAATAATCTACGCATTCTCTTTATGGAGTCAGATAACGTCAGTCTTTCAGGCAAGAACTCAAATGAACCCCCAAAGTCAATCAATTTTGATAAAAATAAAACACTTAAAGGATATTGGGACAGTAATGAAAACACCAGTTTTTTTGCAAACATTGGGTAAAAAAGTGCTAAGGCGCCGTCCACCTCACAGTCCGATCTACGCACCAGGCATGAAAATTTAACAAATTGGGGAACCTGACGATAGAACGGTCGAATATTACCCTAACTCCGATACACCAAGGGGGGCTCTGTAACGGTCCGACTGGTACAGCTCTGTCCGAGCTAGACAAACTGTTTCTGAACACAAATCATTCTTTTACAACAAAATACACCTTGAAGATAATTCTGCGTTTTTTCCCGATTGTTTTGTAACCAAATTACTGTGAGATTCGGTTTAGTTAGCCAAACCACGAATTAGAGCACGGTATGACACTTGGAGGCTCATCAGAATGTTCAGAATGTACCTCCCTGAAGTGATCGACCCCCTAAAACGATGACAGATGGTTGCATCCACAAAACTCCCCATTACGACCCATACTGCGGTGAAGTCAGCAAGCCCTAACGATGGGGATGATCTCATAGTCACGAATAAAAAGTGCAGGTGTTAGTATTAATAACAGTGAAATAAGTGATAGCAATAAATAGTAATCTAATAAAGCTAAGCATGCGAGCTGGATGCTTTTAGCCATTTTACTCGCCTCCTGGCTGTAGAAGACGACAAATTTTACCACTCTACACTAGTGACTGAAACATATTTTACCAATAAACTGAGTAGGTATCACGTGACCAGTAAACATCGATCAGATAACATCTATTCATATGAACATCCTTGTGGTACTCCCGATTGAAATCAGCCCTTATCTGAAACATTCACTGTTTCGGTGCCTAACTGCCATGCCACCCGAAGGAAGCACGAAGGCTGGGATACTGCCCAAGCAGGGGAAGTTGAGAGTCAAAGGTCGGGTTCGAACTACGGACCTTCCGATCGGTAATTTCGCGCTCTAACTACCTCGCCCCCAAAAAGCAGCCGAAATATTGCAAGTTTACTTATTTTAACGACCACCAGGAAAAAAAACAGATCAAATGTGTTTTGTGGAAAACGTATCAGGGCCCAAACGAAATTAATTTTGTTACCAGACTTGCATAAATTCAGCTGGATGAGCACAAACTAATCCGTGAACTCGACCGAGAAATGGGCGTAACATTTACTTCATTTATGTGTGGATCTAGTGCGGCTCTTTCATGCATATTGCAAAACTATCGTGTCAGGCAGAGGACTGACGTCTTTATGGTACGAGCCCCAGGCTCCGGGTTGAACGGCTGCGGCCGAGCTACAGACTGCACGCCAGGTGAATCCCCTAGTGCCGCTGAATTCCCCTCATTTGAATCTAGTCGGTATGTAGCAAAACAGGGATAGTTTCTTAATTCTGAAAGAATGAATCAATAATTCGTCAAATTTCGTTCAGCTTTCCCGAGGTTAGCCTATGATAGATGTACAATTATTCAATCTCAAGCGTGTGTCTACCTGATGAACCTCAAGAAGGATGAGCTGTCTAAAAGTTGTCAGCAACCTTGTGAGTAGTATGTTTCGCCACGAAAGTGCTCAATAATGCTTTGAAGTGACACGCTAAAGTGTCTTGCGGTCATTGCTGACCATAATTAGTCGGCTTTTGTTTGGTACAACTTTGTGTCTGTGGACAAGACCACAAAAAAGATGGAAGTTGTGTCCACATTCTGCAGACATTTCATAGAGTACTTCCGACACCAATCGTCGCCAGTGCGCTAACGAGTCAGTGATCCGTCTTTATAACGCCGACCAATCAATACACTGGTCATGGGTCTCCCAGAATTTTCAGGCAATTTATCAGCAAACTTTCACCGACCGAAACAGAGCAATAGTGTAGGGTGCCGGATTTAGGTGGTAACCGAACTAGATGATGGATTTTCTTCAAGAAATCGAGTACGTGATGATAACCATGCCTTTCAGAGTATTTTCCACTTGTAGTATATATGCTGGTCACTAGCTATGGGACGAACCTGAAAGTGCAGTTTTTGTGTTTCTCCGCGCACCGAACAGTCCTGTGTGCTCTCACAAAGGGAAACTACTCACAAGATTGCTGAAAACTCTTCGACAGCCCACGACCAGTTTCGCCCTTCTTGGGGCTTATCAGGTAGGCGCAGTCCCCGAGTTTCCACCGTCAACCTTATGATCTACGTGAACCCAAATTGGACTGTTTTCGAGAACTACACTCATTTGCAAACCCTGTGTTGTTTAAATGACTTGCCGACAGACTGGTGACTGCCGCGGAACACTGTAGGACGCATTTGGGATTCTAAGAATAACAAAAATATATCGCCCTTAATCGAACCCCAGAGAAATTCCCCGTGTGGAGTTGATTCCTTTTTCTGGTTTGAGCAGACTACTACTACCATCTACTACCATCTACGTTGATGATGGCCCCTTTGGACGATATTTCCATTGGGGTGTCAAAGTCAGCAAACCCCTCGTGCGTCACAATAGCGAACTTTCCTATCCTCAGCGCGTTCACAAGACAATAGAGGCCCAGTAGCTTCGGGATACATTTGTTGAAACTGGTTATTGGGTTAACACTGTAATTTCTTGGTCGGATGAAATCTCACGGATGTGTTTTCGTGGGCTCGTGCAAGCAAATCGGGTAAAGTTGGAAGTATCTATCATATCACTGTCAAGTATCACTCAATTAGAAATCTACACGTCGAAACGAGTCTTGAGACCCACGACGTCTACTGGAGATAAAAAAAATAAGAAAGCGTGAAGGTCGTGAGGGTTCCTTCTGACGAATGCCATCTTAACGAAAGTACATTACTTATGTAGCCCCCTGTACTTACAACTTCTGACGTCTTAAGAAAACAACAGCCGAGCTGCTAAAACCTGCCAGCCAAAAAAGAATAATCGAATGACTCTGAAAGACAAAAAGTACAAATCCCGTAGATAAATTTAATAACAAAGTAATCGATGAGCAGGCGACCATGTGATATCGCTATTATCTCGTTATCATGACCGTTTTCGTAACAGTTGTCCCCTTTTTGGTTAACCCTGAGACTAGATCATTACTGTTTACCTATTCAGATGTTCTCAATGGTGTGGTAGTAACGCGGTCGAGATTATCATTCTACCTGGATTTTCAAAAATGAATAGAGAAAAACAGCCAGAATAACCCCAGACAGGACACCTAATTCGCTAAAACAACAACAGCAAACAAGTTGGTGACTCACATGCTGACAAATTTTGCATTTATAGCCTTTCGCAGGATGTGTGTAGGAACTGGTGGTATGTGAAATCGAGAGATTACTGTTTTCCACAACACAATGGGTACTTTTCGGAGTATCCGCACTGGAGCTGCCTCCGTTGCTGCCTTGGTTTGGTGTGATACCCAGGGTATCGTCCCCACGAAGCGGATTCAGAGAGTCACGGGCGCTCATGAGCATTTCGGTCGAGGATCGATAGTCTGACAGTGTATCTGGTGTTGAACAGTCACGAACAGACGAATTGCGAAATAACAGTGATGAGGATTTATCCCGTAGACCCGGGAGTAATCGGCCGTTCCGCATAAAGTCCAGGGAATTACGATTTGAATGACCGCCGACAATGTTCAACGAATCTCCCCTCACTGTGTCGCTAGAATCTGAAAGAGGACTTTTTGAAGAAAGCTGGAAGTGTTGCTGCGAAGGGTGATAGTGCTCTAGGTTAGGCTGTGAACCTGACTGAACCCGTCCTTTGGAGTCGTTTGACAGAGCGTGTCTAGATCCATCACGATCCGATTGTTTATCACTGTTCATCTCTTCAGCCATATGGGCTGCAAACTGAGCTCGATCACTGGCTACCGCCGCCGCGAGTGCAGCTGCCGTTGAACTAAAGTCCTTCAAGTGTTGAGATCGGAGATGATTATAGGCGGTGATGGCATCTGTGGAACTCTTGCTTGTAGGTGAAGCATTCAGACTCGGTGAGGGTGAAGACGTTGAATGTAATCCTCCGGATGGTAGACTGTTGAAGTGTTGATTAGACCTTCCATTGCACAGATTGCTCAAGGACATTTCGTTTGGAGTTAGGGTACGTGATGTTGAGTGATGCATACCCTGGCGTGAAGCATGCATCGTGTGTGACAGGGCTGGGGGGCCACAATCTGAAACTCCCATGACAGCCGAATTGGCCGCTACTGAGGCAAATGCAGCAATGGCTGCTGCATGAGGGTCTGTCGGTCCTGACACAACACCGGCGTGGTCGTTCTGACCGTTGTTGCGCTGTAGGTGACTGCCTATCCGTGGCTGAGGTGAAAGTAGCCGAGGTGCAGATGATCCATGCGCTCTAGATGTGTTGGGTGATGGAGACATATGACTGCCCTGCTGCAGATTGTTTGGCGTCTCAACATTACGATCCCGGGGTGACATGTGCCGCGTTTCAGTACCACATAGTTGTTGATGTTGTTGTTGCTGCTGCTGCTGAGGTTGGTGTAAATTCGAAGATGGCGGTAGGATGTGTGACATGTGAGCTGCGTGTGCACCGGGGTAAGAGAATCGTTGATAGAATGTTTCAAACGGATCTTCCATTGCGGGAACGTTCAAAGAACCAGACCCGGAATGTGGTACACCCAGCATGTTTGCGCCCATTCCGGCACCTACTGCCCCGCCAGCACCCATCATGATCTGTTGACTGTGCGCCCCAGCAGCGGCGTTGGCAGCCGCAGCCGGATAACTTGCCCATGGCCAAAGAAACAATCCAGTGCGGGTCCTCGGGTCTGTGCCACTGACATCCATCATGAGGTTATGGGTTATTCGGTCACTAAAGGCGTATGTCCTTGGTAAAACAGCAACAGCAGATTTTTCATAGTCCAGTTGTGATTGTGTGGCGGCTCAGATCGTCGTACTGATTTTCGGCCAATTAGCGAATCCGTCTCATTGTCAACTGTCCTTGGTGGGAGCAAAAATGTGGTGCGAGAGAGAGAGAGAGCAATGTACCGTTGTCAGCTTCGTTCACTGGATCAGAAAAAAGTGATGGTCGTCGTGTAATTTATCGAGTTTTTGGACAATTGTCAGGACACGACACAGTGGAGGGCAAGGTTGCATGAACTACTCATCAGTCGGTCGCCCGCGCACCCGTGGCATACGCGTGCACAAACAGACGCACAGGCAAAGTGGTGCACATAGCCAGACAGGCAGCGCTGGCGTTTCCTTACTCTCGATCTCTCTCGATAGACAGTGGAAACCCAGGCCCAGTGCGCACGTGCGCGTGCATGCGCGCAGTCCTGGCCATAGAGCCGGACCAAACACAAAACACACACAAAACACAGAAAATACGACACCGATATGTCTGGAATCGAGGGCACCAATCAGGAGCGCAGTCAGAATGAGCGATTGTGTTCCGATTGGCTGTCTGAAAAAGAAGGCAGGTAGCTTGAGCGTCGCAAGTCAGGGTGGAGTTGAACCGTTGAAGAGACATGACCGCACACGTGCACACACACAGACCACATTGGCCACATGTTGGCGTACGTTGGAGCTGCCTTGTGGGCGTCAGCAGTCTGGTGCCCAGGCTTCTGGCTCGTCCCGTACCTGCCTGCTTCCCCGTTTCCGTCAGAACTTTACTTCTCTTGGAGCCGGTGACGGTCCTATGACGCAAAGCTGACAGTCCAGCAGGGGCTATTCTTTTCGCCACTGTATCTGAACGGAACAGTGTCTAGCTCTCTCAAGACTTACACCCTGAGTAATCTGCAGCTCCATATCGGAAGTGGGCGGCTGACCATTTTAAGATGCTTCGTCACACTACAGGTCTACAATACGTGTGGGATGGCTCTTTATTCGTGTGTTCTCTTCTCAATAAGAATTAACTCATCACTTTCCAGCTCTCTAGCAGCTGTTTATCCGCTTTTAACAGAGAATCTGAAGTGTATCTTCATAAACTCTCCCAGCTACTCACAGAGCATCAGTAGTGTGACTAGGCCTCTGCGCATAGGTGGCTTGTGCTCGAAGAAGGGTCTCCGAGCATAGCAGCTGAGCGATGTTGTTGTCATACAAAAGAGCAGAAACAACAGGCTCCACCCGACAGCTACAGTGACAAAATCTCAACCAAGATGCCCAAGAGATGGACGACACGAAATTTGGAACCGGGAATCCGGGGTAAGTCCACACAGGATGTGGCGCTGGCCTTCTCTCGACCGAGCAAGCCTTCACCACATGTTTCCAGCAGCATCAGTCACATGGGGAGCCAACTTTGTAAGCCGCGCTAGCTTACATGCCTCATACGCCCAGACGGTTTGGTCATGTTGGCTTTGAGCAGACTGCTCATAACCCCCTCGCTCACCCACGAAGAAAACGAACACCCAACCTATCTGTAATCACATTTTTTCGCATCTTTACTCATTTTAAAGCCAACACAAAAGGGAAGAATACTCTTGCAGACAAACTATTAGCTTCTGCATAACTCGGGTAGGATGCCAGAGTCGAGCGAAAAAGAGCCACCCAGCTATCGATCCAATTACTGTCACACATCAAACTGAAAATACGGTAGGGACGGGAAAGTGCATTTTTTCAAGGCCCCTTTGCCATGTCTGGTCACTTCCAGAAATCTATAGGCTCGTGTGTCAAGCCACCACAATAACAAGTGACGAGCCAGTAACTCAGTCAGGGCTTGCGATACCAGACTTACCGATATTCGTTAATTCTTGAGGTGGGCGTCGCAAGGGGCTGGAACTGATTATCAGGAAGGTCAGCTTCCTGAAAGCAACCACCGAATGCCCGGAACCTACGGCGACTCTCAGCTCCGCTGGGTGTTGACCAGACAGACAACGCCCCCTCAATAGGCAGCGCGTCACAGCCTTGCATCAAAGCCAGACAGCGCGAGTCAGCGCTGATCAAGGACAGACAACGCCTCCGCAATATGCAGCACGTCGCTGCCTCGTATTAAGGCCAGACCGCGTGCGTCAGCATTGGACCAAGTTCAGACAGTGTCCTTCCAATAAAAAGCTTGAGGTCGTTGTACTTTTCACACTCGCGCTCTCGCAACCACTTTGTTGGAATATAGCTATTGTGTTCCCTTCCGTGAGCCTTTTTCTTTCCGACACTAGGCACTGGAGCGGGTCAGCAGCAGATACCACAGGCCTAGGACCCTAATCATAATCCAATAATCTAAAGACTGGTCACTGAAGCATTGGGATTATTGGTCCGATGGTGTCTTTGAGATGAAAGTGAATGAATGGTCATGTGACGTCCTAGATCAAGGACAACATCCAGAACTGTCTGCAAACCAAGATCATTTCATCCGTTTATTCATCGGTTTTGCCTGAGGGTAATATGATTGGCGAACTGTTTGTCGGAAAAACGAGGAAATTTGACAGTCTCATGATTGCTACGGTGCTCAAGGATTCAGATAAGACCCTGAATGAAAGGCTATCCTAACCAGGCTGAGTGGTGAACTGGTAGTGGTCTCTGAGTTGTATCCCCCCTATTTTGACGAGCACTAAAATACTAACGCTGCTCAACTGACAGTCTTTATTGTCATATTAATCCACCGCTCCAAATCAAAACGAGTCCACCTGTGGTGGACTCAGCTTCTCTGCATCTTTCTTGAGGTCACTCCAGCCAAACGAAATACCAGCCTTTCCCCATAACTGATACTAACTTTTCCCGGTTTGCTGATGTCATTCTCTGCTCGGTTTTTTTTTCGGGAAAGAATCTTCTTCATACTTGTGTATTTTGAAAGACAGGAAGACTGAGGTAGCTGATGAACTGGTCCGACGCTTAGAGTGAGTTTCAGGTTGCTTCCCTAGACATGTTCCTCCCAGGTCCTTCGGAAGATACTCTGACAGGTTGACAGTTTGATCACAGTCCAATTCCTGTCCTCTGAATAGCGATATTTTGTCCTCATAAGGGAACTACTCACAAGGTTGCTGAAAACTCTTCGACAGCCCAAGACCGGTTTCGCCCTTCTTCGGGTTGGCTCATCAGGTAGGCGCAGTCCCCGAGTTTTCGTCAACCTTATGTTCTACTTGAACCCAAATAGGACTGTTTTCGAGAAATACACTCTTTTGCAAATCAATTTGGTTTTCATGAGAGACTTAACTGAATATCCTAAACGAGTGATTCAGTTGAGTTTCCCGTGAAAACCAAATTGATTTGCAAAAGAGTGTATTTCTCGAAAACAGTCCTATTTGGGTTCAAGTAGAACATAAGGTTGACGAAAACTCGGGGACTGCGCCTACCTGATGAGCCAACCCGAAGAAAGGCGAAACCGGTCTTGGGCTGTCGAAGAGTTTTCAGCAAACTTGTGAGCAGTTTCCTTTATGAAAATATACTGCGATATCTCCAGTATCGTGCCAACTGAAACATAAGGCGGCCTATGTGCAGCACATTCAGTTGTAGAATATCATAAACGAGGGATTCAGTTGAGTCTCACGATAACCAAATTGATTTGCAACCGAGTGTATTTCTCGATATGTTTGTTGTCTTGTTCCAACTTCGACAGTGATGATCCACGAGTTCTTTCCCAAATGAATGAAACGAGCCAACAACTAGCTCGCGTTGAAAGGATATCTCGTTTAGGAACATCACTCATGAGCGGACATGACACTGAAACTTGGAACTCACTGTCTTGCCAAAATTACCTCTTACGTGCAAACTATCTTGCTGTAACAGCGTCCTGCAAACTCACCTTATTTTGGATAATATTTCTACGAGTACACCAAACGTAGCAAGCAGTCCTTACGCACTCGGTAGTCACGTGGGTTTGGATAACCTCGCTTCATATTTGGGGTTACTGGTCAATATGATTGAACTATTTGGTAGTCCGCATGCAGCGCGAATGATGGGATCTCAGGAAAAAAATTGATCTTTCCTGTTTGCAAACAATTTCTGGTCTAAGTGTGGCGATGCCTTCATGAAATTCAATCCGTTCCCGTCTGGTAAACGGTAGAGGACAAGGATGTATACAGTTCTCGGATTTTTTGTAATGTACTACTCATAAGGTTACTGAAAATCCGTCGACAGCCGACGACCGGTTTCGCCCTTTTTTGGGGCTCATCAGGTAGGCGCAGTCCCCTGAGAACATCACAAACGAGAGATTCAGCTGGGTTCCAGGTGAGTCTCCCGAAAAACCGAATTAGTTTGCAAGTGAGTGTATATTCGCTAATTTCGTGCAATTCGGTTTCAAGTAGAACATAAGGTTGACGGAATCTCGGGGACTGCGCCTACCTGATGAGCCCCAAAAAGGGCGAACCGGTCGTGAGCTGTCGACATCACGAAGATATACATGTATCGCGATATCTCGAAAAACGTAGCAACTAAAACATTAGGTGGTCTGGTGGAGCACATTCAATTGCCTGGAAACATCAAAAAAGAGAGATTCAGCTGGGTTCCAGGTGAGTCTCTCCCGCTAAAAGATTCCACCGTTCCACCGTGGAAGTATTCCATATAGCTGCAGGATTTGCCGACGAAGAAGAAAGTTTGCTATCTTTGTGTGATACCTTTTTGAATAGGCGATCACGAGATGTTGTCTTTTCATTCGCATGGAGCTTTACCTGGTTTGCTGTGAATAAAATTCGCATTTACTCTCATGGGAATGACGAAGTGAGAGCCGCAGTGTGCTAAAAAATAAACCTCACTTGGTTTCTGCAACCAAGCCCTCATCCATGTCATTGTGAAATTCACTGGTTATGGCTCCCTAAAAATAGCTCGCCGTGATTATGGCGCAATAAATCCCGAAACGTACTTCAGTTGAGTTCAGCATCATAGTTGACCGTCCTGTTATAAGGGCGATGTGCAAAAAAATCAATTGTCTGCTCCACAGGCAAG